ATTTGCTTAATAAAGTGTACGAGTAGGAATGAAGAGTAATGCATGTAAAAAACGAGTAATTTTGATGATTTTAAAATATATTTAATTATTATATTTTTAATCCATTTTCATTTTCTTGCTATGGGTAAAATACTAATTGGCAAATGTGTATTCTGTATAAATTAGCGGTCATTGTTGCTTTTTGTAACCCAATGTTGTAATGCCGCACTGATAACAGAAGGCGATAATGACGGCTGCCTTTCGTTCCCGTTAAATTGAACTAATAATTTTATTTACGGCCAAAATACCTATCCATCGAGTATCATTGGTAAATTTATGTGGAACGTGATTATAGTGAATTCAATGGCAGAAAGAAGATCACTGCCACCTCCCGCGATCAAACATGCACTACACATACGGGCCAAATGACCCTAGCCAGTTCGGTGGTATACCGAATACGCTAGTTCTGGACTGCCATACCCAAGTTTGCGGGTTGAAACCCGATTGAAGCCCTGGATTTTTAAGCGAGGAGACGTAAAGTCGGCTCTTCCATCTAGTAGATTCAGTGCATGGAAGAAAGAAACATTTTTCAAAACTAAATTCAAATCGCCTGTTTCGTCAACCGAGTAATATCTTCTTTCTCCATTGAAAGGTGAAAGATGCTTAACGAAATTTGCGTGGGCGGATGGAAGAGCAGGCCGAAGGACCCGAGTCTCGCCACGAGAAATAAGGCATTAACTAACTAGCAGTTGACGCGCCCTGAGCCACTTATCAACTAATCAAACCAACCATTCTTGGCATGTTCCCACGTTGCCCCATATGTGCGAGGGAACGTTCTCCGCTTATTCATGTTTCCTCGCGGTTTCCATATTCGTTTTCCAAAATTATCCAACATTATCCTCCCATGTACCACCCCATGTTTCCTCTATGAATCTCTGAATGGCCCCCTTATAATTCTCTATATGTATTCTCACGCGGTCACTGCAAGATCCACTATATTTTCTCCCTCACGAGTCCTACATATTCCTCATATATTCTTCCACTGGCTCACAGCATGTTCTGAAAAATTCTAAATAGCTAGAATATTTGGAACAGTAGGTACATCGCCCCCCCCCCCCGAGTCATTAAAAGAACACCCCACATTTTTTCGCAAAAAATCTCAGTCTCCAAAAATATCACTTTTTAAACATTTGTTTTATAAAATGAATACTACTTCACACTGGAAAAACATCTTTCGGAGTTTCTGGGATACCCATATAACGGGATGTGGGAAACGTAACAGAACGTCCTAAAAGGTATCATTTTGTAGATAACGGAATACAAACATTGAACTTGAGTCCCTAAAGGACCACAAAATACTGGCTTTAAGGCCCGCCACGAAAATCGTCTCTTCAGTGTACTCCCTCGACCAGTTCAACCTGTACGAAGGAATAGTAAGCAGGAATATATGTGTATTTTTCCTGTATGGTCTTTAATGCTGAATTTAAAAAATAGTATATTTTTTATCCTCTTCATATTCATGAAGACGAGAGTTAATATTTAGAAGTATTGTTGTATCAAATATTCTCGTATACTTCTGTAAATTTCTCGTATACTTCTGCAACGCGAGCCACCACGTCGAGTCACACCACCGAGCGCACCGCCCAGTGGGCCGAATCGGAACCAGCAGCGGGCGACTCCCACAAGGCCCCGGAACGGACAGCAGGACCCAGCCGATCATTTGGGAGGGGGCCATTAGAGATCTTTCTTAAATAATAGACTTTTATTATTATATTGTACATTGTCCTTGTAGTGTATAATATATAATACTATATAATATTTTCAAAATAATTACATAATTCGAATATAAATAAATTTTGACAAACAAAAGAAGGTAACAACAGAATAAAGTAGCTCTTGGAGAAGGGGGGGATGGCCCCCCTGAATCCACCAGTGACGGATAGGGAGAGCTAAAGCGCTGATGGGGGAGTTTGCAAGTAGGGAGAGAATTGACGGGACAAGCAGGAGATCGCTCTCACGTGTGAGGTTGATGTTCCCTAAAAGAAAAGTATTTTTTTCTTCCAAAGATCAGAATTTTTTCAGTTTTTGGAGATTTATTTCTAAGTGCCTCATTTACGGTTTCCATATTTTGAAATATTCAAAATCAGGGAAAGTGAAAAATAAAACTTTCCTATGAGCGTTTTTAGATTCAGACTCTGAACTGTAAGTGAAGATGTCTTCTTTTCTCCTTATTCGTCAACGGCAGATTTCACTATCCCTGTTTTCGACATGTTCACTTGTGGTTTTAATCACCGTTCACTGGAAGATCCTAGATTTCAGATCCAATAATGGCGGATTTTCGACACCAGACAAGTGGCTGGCACGAATGATGTGAAGGTCGACTGCTCTGATCAGTCGCTTTCTTCCAGACGGAACACAGAACAGAGCATTCAGCAGTGGGCTTCGGCCCTCGGACCAGGCGCGATCTTTCTTTCCCCATCCAGCCTTCACTTCCATCTTTACGGTCTGATGTTTCCTCCGATTCCCAACGATTAAAACAAATCAGTGCTACTGTGATTAGGCGGATGTCAGGCCAATGCTGGAATGTGGTTGTATTCTTGAGGAGGAGGAAGAGGTAGAAGGGGGTGGCAGTGTCTGTCCCCTCTAGTGCATTTGATGTCTTTAACTGGAAATATATTAATTTCTACCTGCGAGGGACCTTCTTTTGCGATTTCCACTCTTGAAAATGCCCAAGTCAAGGAAACTGAGAAAGAAAACTTCAAGAGCATTATTGTGTTGCGTTCGTGAAAATGATCTTTCACTCGTCAGTTCGTCGTTTCTCTCTCCCCTGCCCCAAGTTATTTTAAAAGCCCTCACTGAAAAAAATATAATGTAAGCCTAGTTATCGCATTAAACTTAGTCCTGAAAAAGGTCAGGCTAGAATGGTCGTATGCAGGGATTTTGTTGAAGCAAGTCTTCTTGGACCCCATGCATGAAACGAAAGTGAAAGCGAAATGAAGTGAAAAGAACAGAATCACATATCAGCAGCTTTGACTCCCTGGAGAAAGATCTAACAATCTCTGGATTTATTTGCCCTCAGCACGGAACGGAAAAAGACAGAATCACACATCATCAGCTTTGCACTTGCACCCCACCCCGGGATAAAGATCCCTTACTCGGCGATTAGGAGGTTGTTTGCGCCTGGAGACCTATTGGGTAATTCAAAATTGCCTTTGGATTTCGACGTCAGTTATGACGTTACGATACGATTATTTGTGTGCAGATGCGCATCCTGAATTTTTCGGCGGGGGGGGGGGCAAAAAAAATTGTTTTTTCCGGCCGTGGCGGCTTGTAAACAAATCGTTTCGTATCGTTGTAAACAAATACTCAATTAATATAAATACAAAATATATTTTTATTTTTGACCAATAGTTAATATTTATAGTGTGTAACAATTGATATTTTGAAACACTTTCGTTTGATAATAAAACAGGTAAAAGTTATATTTTTGAATCTGTATTAATGGCTTCTAAGGGAGCTGAGGCCCCATGCCCCCCCTCCCTCCGGGTGTGCCACTGGTTGTGAGTGATATCCTACGCATGCGAAATCGGAGGCATATTTCATTCAGCGAAGGAATGTCACGCTAAATGGAGACGAAAATGTAAATGCTATACGACCAGAGGCCGCCAGCTCGGTGCTAACACCAAACCGGTGGCCCTGGCAATCGAGATTAAGACGCTTTTGGCGTGCACTACGCAACACTCACTGAAACATAATTCCGTTCGTTTTATCAATAAAAATTGGCGAAAACTGTTTTGTAATGTATATTCTGAACGACATTTTTGGCAGTTTATTATTTTGCAATACAGAGCTTTAAAAATGATTGAAATTTGAAATTCACACTATCATGAGAATGTCCACTTACACTGCGCATTTGATATTCGAAGCTTACGACGAAAAGCGATCTCTTCAGTGTAACTCGATCAGTTCAACCTGTACGTAGGAACGGTAAGCAGGAACATATGCGTACTTTTTCTGTATGGTCTTTAATGCTGAAATGTTAAAAACAAGCAGGTTTTTTTTTACCCTCTTCAGATTCGTGAAGATGAGGCTTAATATTTAGAATTATTGTTGTATCAAATATTCTCGAATACTTCTGTAAATTTGATGCAATTGCCCAAAAATACTAAGCCGGTCTGAAGGAATATCAATCAAAAATCAGGGGCTGCTAATAATGCTAACTCATTGTTTATGAATATATGAAACAGAAAATCTCACACGATGCACAACCAAAGAGGAAATGGCGCTCTTAAACTCACAATTGCTTTGCTACGAAATTTCAGTTTTTTTTCTTAATAAGCATTGGCAATTCAGCAGTGGCATCACAATTTGAAGCCTCTGATTGGATAACGGAACCCCCTCTCCCCTATCAGCTGGGAGCTGTCAAGAAGACAGAAGTATTATTCATAGTATATTCCAAACGATCTCGTTTATAAGAGAAACGCATCCGAAGGTGCCAACAACAAACAGTTATCATTACAAACGGAATGTTATTAAACGAAACGAACTGAAAGGCGAATGCAAACATGACAAGTTACGAAATAGTCATTTTTAATATCAACCTGCTGCTGTCGATAAAGTTACCTCGCTTCCAAAATGTTACACATTTTATAGTTATGTATGCATACTATTAACAGTTACAAATCATGAAAATAACAAATTTTTACAAGTAACATTTACAGAAGAAATAAATTAAACTGAATAATCATTGTCCGGATTACTCGAATATTGAAGTAGATAAATGAAAAAGAAAAAAAACCCACAGATTTTACGACTTAATTTCCTAGGTTTTACAAATTAAATTCACCTTGGCTAAACTAATGAAATGAAGGGGCCTTAAGTACATCGGTTGCGAGTTTTGTGCCCCGAGCGCAATTTGTGACCCGTTTTATTGTTTTCGGCCCACTGTTTCGTCACCGACGCCGCCGCCCCATTGAGGAGCGCGCGTGTGCGTACGGCCCGCGGCCGCTACCGCTAGTCTTCGCCGGCGGCGCGCAGCGGTCGCACCATGGCCTTCTGCTCGTGGAAGGGCGAGGAGTACTACCGGGACCACTTCAGATCGGGTGAGTGAGACACACCCCGCACCTTCCAACATCTTTTTGATGACGCTTTCGTTTAACTCGTACAGGTGTGTCTCCTACATGCTTATATCTTGTAACATCAATAAAATATATATTCTTCAATTAGATTTGTGAAATTTTGAGGACGTGATAATCCCCTTTATCCCCATATCTAGTTTATTTTCGATGACAATGCAGGGAACATGCGATTTTGGAGTGTCTCAAATGCTCTTAGTTCGTTTTATTTAATTTTTAGTCGCGTCGAAGGTACTCATTAGCAACTACGTAAGTTTAAAAGTTATAAAGTTGTAAGTTATAAAGAAATACATGTAAGGTTTGTATGAGAAATATGTTATGTTCTTGGAGAATTAAGAAGGGTTTGTTTATGATTCATTACAACAGGTCATTACAATAATTTGCAATAGTAGTATTTAATATATACAACATGCATTTCGTTGGCATGGTTCTTTGAAATTCATTTGTTCAATGAATTGGCCTTGCGGTATAGTATAATTTAGTCTTAATAATTCTAAAAGTAAATCAAGAAGGCAAACTTCAATCCGTTTCACTAACATGTTTTGTAATTCGTTTTCTCCCTTCATATCAGACCACATTACAACGAGACAATACCCCAATAAATTTACAATAGAGTACTAGGAAATGATTTTACAATTGTCGAAAAAAAACAACACTCTTTACAGATAGATAAAACTTACATGCCAAAAATTACCTATATGCTGTTCCATATGCTATGACACTTCTAACAGTGGGATTTATAATGCTTCGAAGAGAAATGTAATTTTATGAGACAGGACTACGTTTAATTTGAATATGCCGCTCATGCACATCTCACAAAAATGAGAGAAAATCAATTTATTAAAATGCTTCAAATTCTCATGTTACTAACGTGACTTATTTTTTGTTTTTAAAATTAATGCATTTTCATTTCCAAAATTTTTCTTTAACATTAGCAGCTTTTGATCACTTAGCTATCACCATCAGACATTCTATATTAGTACTCATGTTCATTCTCTCCATAATAAATTCATAATACCATTTCAGATTTCCAAAAATATCAATTTATTTATTTATTTTTACAGCGAAAGTCTGTTTTGGGCCAGATCTTATTGTGACTGAATCGAAATATGCAAATGCAATAGAGAAAAATGTGTGCAACGACAATGCCTTATATTCAGATATTTGGAATGCAAACAACTCATCACAAGTAAACCAATATATACTTATCTTTGATAGACATTTTATTTGATTTTTTCTGTTTCACCCATGCAATTTCTTTCGCTAAAATATTTTTTTACAAGTCTTAAAAATATTTATTTCGTTTATTTATTGATTTCTTGTATTTAAGTTCTGATGATACACATAATTAGCAAACGTGCTTTGTGCTGTATTGTGGCTTAAATCGGCCAAGTTTTTATCGAAGTAGTAATCTGTCTTTTTGTACAACTGAAATAAAAGGTTTTGGCAAAACCGGTGGATGATTCAGGAGGAAGCCGGGTATGCACGAGAGACTTTGAGCCCTGCTACTTCGACGTTGACGCCCGATAAAACCTTTGTAAAGCCGTTGACATTCTTAAAGTAATTACCCAATCAGTTTGATAGTCTGTTTATACTGAAGGGATGAATGTTTAACAAATGTTCGCGCCGTTTTCGTGATGCAGTGGTAGATTGCGACACCAGTCGCAGGGTCTGAACAGGATCGAGGGAAATAGACCCTATGGATTGAATCAGTAGCGTAACAAAATGAGTGCGGGCCGCTCGCAAAACGTTGATCTGTGCTCCCTTTATGAAAGCGTACAGAAATTTCAAGTAGTTTTAGTACCTTAAATAATAAAAATATCCTCGAACATATTCGAATTCATCAGTCTATAATTAATAACCAATAGTGGAAAAATCTACCTTTATTATTATTTTTATACGGACCCGCCTGCATTGCAGGCCTTGTGGGCCCGAACGTAACGCCACTGGTTTGATGGTAGGCTGAATCCTAACTCACGTAAAATTGAAACGACTTTCATGGTGCAGGGTTAGTGGTCAGACTGCACAGCCTCTGCGGCTGGGAACGCGGCTCGTTTTTCAATGGATTGAAGAGAAATTTATGATGGACAAAGCGGGTTCGCGGGGAATTTTCTCCAGATGCTCCCATTCCATCATTGCTCCATTTCATGAATCATTAATTCAACTCAATTTCCATTCCAGAGCACATTCAGGATTACAAGGTATTGACTATGGTTTTGAGAGGAGAGAGATGTGATGTGTATAGAATAAAGAACATAAATAGTATCCCATGATTCATTAGGGAACATTTAAAATTTAGTTAACCGACATTTAAAATACCTTGATAAACTTATAGTACTTGGGTAGCGTGAACCAAAGTTACAATTAAAAATAGACGAATTTAACTTTCTTTATGTGATCCAACAATAATATGAACTTTAGCCATACGTCAAAGCAGAAGTTAGAACGAAGCACTTGTACTAAATAGTATCCTTTACCCTTCCTGAAATAACTTTGTCACTTGCAGGGGGGGTGTTTTTCCTTCTTTCTTCATAGTTCTTTATCTCGTGTTCGCAAATATTACACTGCTACTTGCATTTCCTTGTAGTTTAGGTAATCAAATATGAGAAGGTGTAAAGATCCACCTAAAACAGTCAAAATGTACCCCGTAGGATCGAGTTGACTACATTCTCCCGCCGCTAGTAAATGCAAATTTCTTGATGCCATTATTTGTTTGCTGGACAATCTTCCGTTGTAGTGGAATAAAATAAGAACAAACATACGATGTCCATTCCCCAAATTGCAGTATTTTTACAGTCCACTGACGAACTGTTCGCTACGAGTTGTGGATTTCACTAGTGTCTCAGAGAATCTGTGCTTCGAAAGGAAACCACGGCTGATAGGATGGCTGGATCTATTGCATTGCCATCATCGCATTAAGAGAAATCACTCCTATCCCGCTAGAAATTGATCTTCATACATGGTTGTGCTCCGGTCTTTGTAATAAATTACAAAATAACAATTATATATTTACGTAACAGTTACAAAATTGTCCGACCAAAACTTTACTATGTCGTAGCAGACCTTTTAATTTTCTCTATTTAGTTCCCAGATTTCGAGATTTTACTGTAATTTTATTCGTTATCATTGTATTAAAAGAATCGTGTGTGGTTGTGTAATTCTGATACGACCTCACCCTGAGGTTGGAGAATAGAAGCAGCTTGTAAGAGAACCTACATCTGCACCACGCCTCAGCATCTGTACAAATGACAATAGCTGCATTGCGTCAGCGGGATGACTAAGGAGAAGGGTTAGACTAATAATTAGAGCACGTTAAAGAAATGGGGGTCAATGATTTTAAAACAGGACACTAATGTCGGTAAATCATATCGCATTTTTGGGAAATTGACACAATTCGATTGAAAAATATGTTAGAAAAGTTGAATCTTCTCAACTTTCGAAAATTTTCTCTCGTGCCTCAGTGGCGAAGTCGCTTGCCTTTCAACACTGACGATCCGGGTTCGATTTCCGTAGAAACTCATGTGAAATGTATTACGACAAAACTAGTTAACTTGCTTCACAGGGGCTAGTCCAACCCCTGTGAAGTGTCCTAAACCCTACCCCAATCCTAATTCCTTCCAAATTCTGGCTGCTGAGTAGTGACGAAGGGGGCGTGTATGCGGAGGTGCTACTTGACGGTCCTCTTGACAACTGCCTAAAACGCCCCCCCCCCCAGGGCTTGGAGACGCGTTACGGCAATTGAAAACGTGACATATTTTAAAAATTCAAACATTTTAATACTATTGAACTTCACTAATTTTAATACTTCGGTTTTTACTGTAAGCAAGCTTCTGTACTTGAGCAAGAACATTTAATATCGGTTTTGGAAAAAGCATCATTTGATGTCTTTCTCTATACCATATACGTATTCTAGGAAGTAAAATCAAGGTATCAAACATTTTGAGGTTTCAGAGATTGATTTCGTCTATGTGCCAGATGGACACAAGTATTTGAAATTCGAGAAACAGAGGTCTCTAAGTTAAAACGCAATTCAATATATAATTGGAGATATCGTGGACTCACCGTTTTAGAATGTCTGAGCTAAGAACAAGTCGATAGACTACCTAAGTTCTATACTTTCGTAACTTTAGATTTCCGTTCCGAGTTTATATGAAAAACAATTAATATTCGAAAGGGTTTCGTACCCGCTCATTTTTCATTCTTCTGAAAGAGAAGTCAGGCAACTGATTGCTTGCTCTTTGAGTTTGAAAAAATATTGGAATTATCTGAAATAGGTATAATCTAAATTTACTGAAATTAAAATTATTTTTTTGCGACTTTTAATTTAAGAAAAAAAATTCTTCGAATAAGTTTGCAAGCCAGAATATTAGAAATTGCATTGTTACATGCATAATAGCTAAGCATTCCGCGTTCAGCTCAAAATTACAGAATGTTGTAATTTATCACTACTCCTTACTAATTGTATAATTTGTTGGTAGAAAATAAACATTTTCAGAAACTCTCTCGTTTTCAAAGCAGTTGTATATGAATTGTTTTTGTTTCAGGCACCTATCATTGTGTGAAGTGTAACTATGGACTGTTTTCAAGTTTGTCGAAATATAAGCACGACTCTCGGTTGCCGTCTTTTGCCACACCCCTGAACAAAGACTCCTTGAGTAAAGTTCCTGAAAAAAATCTACGTTTAACTTTGAAGGTGAGTGTTATTAAATTACACTGCGAATATGTAAATTACTCCAAAAAACTGTAAATAAAAATTGTTCTGATATCTTATTCATTACTTTATCACGCGTCAATATTTGATTTGAACGTGATATTATCACCGGTGATTATATGAATCTATATTAACACTTTTCCGGAATAAACGAGGCTGGCGTCGCAGACCAAAGCTTTTCCTCGTCATACGTAAATACAGACTGTGGACATTAAAAATGTAATAGTTTAGGTACTAATTATTCTAAAGAGTCTACAAATGCCATTAATGTAATATCAGTGGTCTAGCAAGGTCCAGTTGAACCCTGGCATTGTAACACTCCCACCCCCCACCATCCCACTAGCTTAATTCACCTACAAATCGCGGATTCACGATTTACATCTTCCTTTTTGGCAGTAAGCTATTCAATTTTCCAAATGAGAGATTTTTCAATTTTTCTTCTACGCCAATTCTTCTCTTCCCATTTAGGTTGTTTTATGCATATCTTTATCATTGTTTCATCTTTTTCCCCGTTTTCATATTCTATCTATTTTGCATTGTAATGCTTCAATTTCTTTTGCCGTCTTCAATGCTCTTTCCAATTACTTGGTTCAAAATCTTGATATATATTGTTTGGATTCGCATCCTGTCTTCTGTTGTTTTGCTTTGTACGACATGTTAACATACCAGTACGTTAACATACATTGTTACCAAGATATCTCAAGACAATACTTTTTACAAGCTGTCTTTTAGGAGATATGATTGCGCGCAGTATTTGCCTTATTTGTGCAGAAACCACTTTCTGCTAGAAAACATTATTTCACGTAATCTCTTTTACCATTACCTGCCAGCCAATTGTACGAGAAATTACGAAAACCTAGCGAATGCCATGTTAGTAATTGCCCAATGCTCGTGAATAGAACTACTCTCCATGCCATTCAAAAATAAAAGCGTTGCACATAGCCTTGTTTCTTTTATTTTGCTTGCCCCCTTCCCAACGTCTATTTTGAAGTCTTGTTCTATCTTTAATTTTTCTTCTCCGTGCTTCCCTCATTCTATTCAAAATTTTGTCACTTCTCTCTCCATTAAAACAACGTTTTCACAATCGAATGTTAAGATATTTCTTGACCCAGAGATGCTTTGGATTATTTTCAATATTCTTCTGGCTTCATTTCATCAAACCATCTCAGCCTTCTATCTTTCGCCTTTTTGTAAATTAATTCTACCATAATTATCTCTTAGATTTATTGATTCGCAGACTTGTCGTTCTTTCTCTCTCCGCACAGCCATCTTTGATTCTTCCACATGGCCATTCTAATCTTCATCGCTTCCTCGAGTTTGTCATGGGTTGTAAGCACATGCTGAAACTCGTTCCTGACCTGGGCGATGCACAGCACTACAGCCAGCACCTTCGCTTTCTACCTCTCCAACAGGATTCAAAATCGCTCTCGAACACCGATGTCGACTTTTGTTAACAATGATATCTTTTCCATCTCCGTTCTCATTACTCACCATATCGTCTTGCATATCTATCGCCAATCCTACATCCAATTTCCATCACAAAAGGCCTTACCACATAGCCCGAGAACGCCCAAGTTGAGTTTTTGGTTGCGGAACTACGGCCATTTTGGCGTCTTCTCACTTCAGACTGGTTGGTAATCGAGTAAATCCGTCAACTCATTGATTCCAAGACCTTTTCCTACATTCCGCCGTTTATAATTCATTTACGTATCTCTTCATTAACATTCGTCTACACTTAGTTTTGCAATAGGCGTTTCCTGCTATTCTTCTCAACGACTCTTCTCCATTCCGTCAACCACATGATTGTTAAGACACACTGTTCCTCCAAGGAATGATTTTTCAATTTGAATTACTAGTGGACGTTTTTAGCACCGTCCATAAAATTGATTCAATGTGTCTCTCTATTGGCACATACTCCTCAATTTTTCCTTCAATTTCTTAGATATACATGATATTCGTACCAAATCCACGTCTCAAAGCAATTTAATTTTTCAATTTCAAACTTTCGTGGCTTCAACATTTCTTATCCATCTTCGACTTCTAGCTCTAAATACCCAATAAACCTTTTCAACCAATACTTCTGATTACCATCCCCCCTGAAATATTTAAAAATGTGAAAGTTGTGTCCAAAAACTAGGAGCTAGTCATTCCCGCAAATCACAGAAATTACAAAGTTTAACTCAGAAATAGGTTTGGAAATATATTTTAAATAAAAGTTTTAAGTAAAAGTATTTAGTTATCAAATAATATATTCCACGCATGGTCTGCCCATGCCTAGCGCCTTCACTGCAAATCTTTCCTCACACCAGGCTCATATCAGAACCTGCGTGGGCATTTTTGGGATTTACAATCGGGTGCTTGCTCACGTGTTTTGCGTCTTCCTTGCAGGTGTCGTGCGGAAAGTGCGGCAACCCCTTGGGCCACGAATTCCAACGAGATCGAGAAGATGGGGGTTCGCGGTTCTGAATATTCAGTCACTCCTTGAAGTTTGTGGCTTCCGCTGGCGGTAAGGATTGATTGATTACTGGTGTCTCCGAGCGCGTAAACTAAAAGTTTAGTCATTAGTCCCGTAGTGTAGTGCATGTTTTTTACTCGGGCGACTGCCGTGATCTTTCTCCGCCGGATGGTGAGATCCGGCGCCGACCAACCGTCAGCGAGCGGGGATTCCCCAAACCTGTTATCTCCAACCAACTGGGCACTGCCCCAGCCGGGACTAGCTCTAAGCTCCCGACCGGGTCTCCCGGTATGCGAGGTAGTTTTGTGAATTTAAGTGTGAGTGTGCGCCAGTAAGGGGTGAGGATAAGACAAGCAATGGGAAGGAAGAATCCCGTGCAATCTGTAGCCCGTTTGTTAGGGTATTCGCATTGATCGGAGAAATTACGGTAAACTGCAGATCAGAGCAGCCGGCTAGAACTTTTCTCGAGACAGCGGCCGAACTCGAGCTAGTTATGCAACTAGTGTCGATAATCCTGCCACCGTCTGGACTCGAACCTCAGGACCTCCCAGACAGAGGCACTGCAGTTCCATCAATTTGACATGAAACGATGCGTTGAGCTACCTAACCCGGTCGATAAGGAATATTTGGCAGGTGATGTTATTGATCTTGAACACGCCTGGCCAAAACCGACCTTCGGGCCGTAGCGGGTACACGGGGTGCCGCCATTATCAGGGGCAAAACATCCAAACTCAGTTCTGGGAAGATGGGGGTACATAGAGGAAGAGCAGCGCCCGCAGATAAGGAAAGGGCGAGGTGAATTAGGGGGAGGGGGAAGAAGGGAGGGACCTGGCCTTTTGCGTGACACGATGCCCTGAATCCAGCCCCTTGGGCAGGACTGAACTTGAAGAGCGAGGAGATTCGACTGAATTTTGAATGCACTAAATCAGATAGTACCGCTAGTCGACCTCGCGAACATTTTTCTGGTTCCTACAACATTTACACGTCTGTAAATTGTTTCGATTTTTGTTTGTTTCATTAAAGTGAAAAGGCATACATTCTTTAACTAATTTCAAATAAACCAAAACATATATAACACTGAAAATATGTAACCATTAAGTTAATTTACACATTTTTGTAATCATTAGATCCACCATTCGTTATTGTATTATAGAATATGAAACAGGAATAATATAACAAATATTCTCATACGTTTTTGACGATAACACTCTCAAAGATAATCCTCTGTAAACACAGATAACTTATGCAATAAAAATTGAAATACCTTTATCAGGAAATCCAAATAACTGATAGCAATGTACATCTGTTAACCTATTACATAAGCGCCAATATATCGAGATACGAATACTATATTGAAGGTAATTCTTATTCCAGACCTTCTCGAAATAAACTGCTTCCGTCGTTTTTTCGGTGAAGAACCCTCGAGAATGAGACACTTTTTGCTGACTACTTTCCCGACTGGCTACACACCGTGAACTCCTACCGGACAGATGATATTTTAAAACAGTCTCCCGAACGTAGGCGTACTGGCTGTCCAAAATCACGTCACATTAACATTCACATGACAAATATGTGAACCTGGACACAGTTACGCGATTACTTCCTTGTGAATGTGCTCGTGGCACATATGATGAATACCTTTCTATGGCGGTTGCACAGGAGGTGAGCAGCGGACTTCGTAAAAAGTGCGGGAGCAAGTGGGCACCTTAATTAAAATTAGTGGTAGTTGTAAATAAATATTTGGGTAGGGCTTCTTAAATAAACACTTCCCTGCACCTCAGTTGACGTTTCGCCTGACATTACGAGTTGAGCGATGAGACCCTTCGCAATTTACATAAAACAATCTTGATTCTGGGCGAAGCATTTTTACGACATTATTCTCCACTCAATACACACAAGGCACCTTACATTGGTACAAAAACGTCACTGTAGCGAGTGCCAAAATGACCAAAATGTCCAAAATGATCCGTTCATCGTCAATCATATAGCTTTATCCAAACAATTTGGCAAATGTGTGATTGATGTGTTTAATTCGCGACTTTGCCACATTTCAGTCTTAAGTTGTTACATATGCGCTATAGAAATAATTAAGATAGTGGGTCATTTGTCAATAATTCTCTCTATTTTCAAGATTTCTCACTTAATCAGATATAACTTGCTAGTGAGAATGAATGATTTCTCTACGTCGATAACGCGAGGGCTATAAATGCCTAAAAGCGATCTAATAATATTTTAGGAGGCCACTCTTTCTCCCACAATCTCCATTCGTCCTAACCCTCCCCCAATAATCGAAGGGGCACCGAGTAACAACTCAATTACACGTCTAATAAATACTAAGTAAAACATTTGTAATTCTACAACAGAGTACCTAGGTCTATCTAACATTACTATTTTTATGTTCTAGGCATGGAAACTTCAAAGGAGACTGAAAAGAAGTATTGTGTTTCACCAACATCATCATCATCGTCAACACCCCCACCACAACCATCATCATCATCAGAAGAAGAAGATTAGAATAAAAATAACATCATTCCTTGTCATTTCCTCAAATCAATGATTCCAGGAAGATAACCATTTAGAAAAAAATGCATAATAGATCTGCTCATTAGTCGTCTCATTTTAAACAAGAGTGACTGTATTTAATGAAGTTTACTGAGGAAAGTGAGCAATTGCTGTCGGTAAGCGGACGACGTTACATTTCATCTAAATAAGATTTATCCATGTATGCATCGTAAATTTATAAAACTGTGCGCAACGTATGGTGGGAGAAAAATCTGTATACATGTTTTCAGAACTGGAATCCCTACCCTCTCTCTTGTTAAACAATTTCGAAAGAATGAGATTTTACAATTCATTGGTATATTTTGTTTGTTTATTCAGTCAAAATATCCGGAAATATTCCCCTATTTACATTATTTTTGCTTTTTTGAAGGGTCTTAATCTTCCGGCGATTCCAAATGAATTTAATGATATTCTGGAAAATGTGTTCCAGAGATATATCAAATAATGAAATGGAGCATCACTTTAACTGTGATGTTTTAAAGTAACATTTCAAAACAATATATGGGAACAAATTGAGAAAACGAGATTAAATGAACTGTATTTTGAAAAAACACAATTTTCAATATAAAAATTACAGGAATAATATGGAATAATTCTGGGAGCTTCACGTAAAGTAGAAATTCTCCCAAAACATCCTAAAAATTTAAACCATACGTTTGCAATTCGCAGACACTTGAGTTGGGGTAGATCAATCAGGGTACATCCACCTTTGTTAAATTCTTTGTATCGCTTAGACGCTAGCGATATTCTCTGACTGACGGGCAGATTAACAGAGACGTTTTTGAAAAGTCACTTTTGAAGGGTCCTCCAAAATATGTCATCTCGAAGTCGAATTTTTGTCACATTACTTAACTTTTCCCACTACTGTTTTTGGGGAAATTGTTAAAAATAACAAAAATACAACTTGCTGCAAGACTTGTTCTCAGTGAGGCGTCAGTAACATCATTTACACGTGCGCCTGGTGGCATACAGAAATGATGGGACATTATTTACTCACTTTTCTGATTCATTGCCAATTGCACATGGGGTCTCCCCAGAGTTCGAGATTAGGCCCTTTTCTCAATATATGTTTCTGATTCTGTAATAACAAATTAATAGTAAACAAAGGGAAAACTGTTTCAATGTAGTTTTCCATTTCTAATAAAAAAAACAACGATGTGCAATTGTGTTTGAAAATTATGTGCAATTCACTGACGTTAAGATAACATTTTTGGGCCTCTCAAATCAGTCAAATCTCAAATGGAAGTTAATATAAATGAAATGAACGGAAACTCAAGTTCTTTATGCTACGCATTTAGAATTATTATAAATTCAGTATTCCTTCACACTTCTTGTGTAAGAGTATATTTCGCGAATATTTACTCGTGTCTTATATGTGGCATACATATTCTCGGGAAACACATCTTGTAGGCCTCGGACTTTCATGCTAGTGACATGCGAACGTTAAAGTGCGTCCGTCATGGCGCAGCAAGGACGCATACGGACCATGACACACTACTGTCCGAATATTTTTGTCTGGCACATGGAAATGAGGTAGAGCGATGTTGCTAATTACTCGGGTGCCAGACAGGTGGTCACGTGGTCGTCCATGCATCAGGTCACATCAGCATCAGCAGTAGCAGCAAGAAAAAATCGCAATGAGAGCAACAACAATAGACGACAGAAAACCTCAAACAACACACACACACAAAAAGAAATGGGGCTTTCGGTCACTTGGCAATCGACGCTCTTCAATTTTCAGTTGCTTCGCGATAGATGATTTCATTTTCTTCAGATTCTAATTAACCATCGGCGACTCTGTTGTGACGTCACAATTTGAAGTCTCTGTTTGGATAAGAGAATCCCCCTCTCTCCTGTTAGCCACTATCTGTCAAGTAGACAGAAATATCATTCGTACAATAGTTCGCTGTAGCGACATTTGTCGCCAACAACGTCCGTCGCGTGAAACTCAACGGACGTTACCAGCCAGAATGCGGACGTTGTTGTAGGCTTCCATACCGATATCTGGGCTTCAATATCGTACAGAACACATGGAGTTCTAACGACTCGCGTTGAACGAGCGGCATTCTTTCGTCCCTTCATAAAATGAATATATTCAAAAGAAAGATTCATTGAACGATTAATTAATTAAGTGCATATGTAAGCATTTCTTCAGGTAGTATAGCACACTTCTCGTTGGTATTTTGCCGCTTTAAAGACCATGTAATTTCGAGAGCACTTATGTAAGCGACCGACGGCTCAGACATTCTCGGAAATTAAAAATCACCATCGTAGCATACAATTTGAAAGAGGGTGTAAAATGTTTCCTTCAAAAGGCGCTCGCCATCAATGGCATGAACCCACCATCTCCTGCTCTTTTCTTTTATAAGTTTCATTCTAATGTAACGTACAATGAATGAAGCGCGGCTCCCGTTTGCTAGCACAAGACCACAGGACATCCGTTGCGTTTCAATTGACGTTCGTTGCGCGGAGGTAATCGTGCTCGTGTGTCGTGCCAACCAACGGAGGAGGGGCGTCAAGCTGAAACAGCCAAGTCAGCACACCGGAATGAATCACGTCAAATGATGTTTTGATAATTAATTGCCACAATTTTGAATTGGTTGCCTCTTATTTTCATGGCGATAACGGGAGAAAGCAGTGTCATCACACATGTAAGTTAAATTTGGGTCGTTGCTCGACGGACACCCTCAGATGATTTATTGCTAAGAAAATGCCCACAATTTGAAATTAATTGCCAAAAGCGGGTTTGAGCTGGCTTCACTTACATAAGTTATTTACGACTAGAAATGTAACTTATGTCTGAGTTCTGACTCGACGTGTCAAACCAGCTCATACCCGTTTTCGCCATGAAAATACGTGGCAATTAATATCAAATTGTGGCAATTAATTAGCAATAAATAATTTGACGTGTTTAATTCCGGTGTGCTGACATGGCTGTTCCAGCTTGACGCATCTCAATGAACGTCAAATAGACGGACATTAACAACGTACGTGTTGCAACGCTCGTGTGTCTATGATTACAAAACTAGTGGTGATAAGTCAGCAAGTACTTTCTCACCGTTAGTAATGGTTATGTAATACTATTTATACCACAATTTCTCTCCGAATTTTTTTTTTGCAAAACTCATTTGAAATCGTAGAACATTTGAAGCGAAAAAGAAGCAGATTACGAGAATATAAAATAATTACGAATGAATAAATATGCTAAAAATAAAAGTTAATAAATAGCTTTGGAAAACAAATAGATTGAAAAATATATAATAATAATTATTAAACACTATAGTATTTTAATATTCTACAACTATATCAAAGGATTTCTTATTATTACCGCGAATAAAAACGGGTAACAAAAACCAACAATGGCCACTCACCTATTCGTTTTCACATTTAACACAATTAAATGACGCAATTTAAAATAAAATAATACAAATATAAATTAAATAATAATATTAAAATGAAATATGAAATTATAAAAATGCTCACTGAATTATACATGAATTCTCACCACGTATAAATTGGGAGCGGGCGACTGAAGGTTAGCAATCTTATTTCATATTTATTTCAATAGGTTTTAAATAATTTTTAAATATTAATTTTTAAAAGTATAACATAATGTCCAATATAAGAAACGAACAAAGAAATATGAAATATCAAATACTATACACATTCTAATTTCACATCCACCTGCCACAAACACCTACAATTACGATCAAGCAGTGCAATATTTTCAGGGAGGGCGCCTGTCACCCAATTACTCCAAAAATACTCATAGTTTCGAAACGTTCGTCTTTAACACATTCCATTAAGAAAAATGTATCATAATTGTAGAAAAACGCCAAAAAAATTGAATATTTTAATTATCGAAAAATCATGGTTTTAAAACCAACATGAGACCTGCACTATTTTCTTAAATGTTCTTCAGACTATCTATCAAAAAAATTTCATAAAAATTGATTAAGCCGTTATTGAGAAAATTGTTTAAACAAAAATTAAAAATTGCCTATATTTCACGCAACATTATGCGAAAAATTATATTTTTATCGTCCAATTTTTGCAAAATTGTATATAACCTTCAAAATCTATCTAAAGAACACATTTCATTAAGTGAAAATATCTATCTTTAATGTATCAGTTGTAGCAAGACGCCGAAGTATTTTGAATATTTTTAATTTTCGAAAAATCAGAGTTTTCAATCAACCTGCGCCATTCTCTTTAACGTCTTTTGAACTATCCAACAATAAAATATAATCAAAATAGATGGTGCCATTTTTTTCAAGTTTAATAATGTCCCAGGAGCTTGGGATAAAGTACAATTAAATATCAGTTTCTAAAATTCAAGGAACAGCGACATCAACCAGATCGATTGGAGGCTGGATTTTGGAGAAAATCGGCTGAATTGTTTAGCCGCTAGCGTTGTTCACAGCTAGATGGGCAGACGATTTGTCGTCAATCGGTTTTTCGGTATCAAGGACCCACAAAACAGGGATTCTGGCTAAACCACATCATAGAAGATTTTTTTTCTGTATTTAGCACCTGGAGTCTAAGGTTTGCTGATGCGCAAGTTGAAGCCTCTCACAACTAAATGTCAACCTCACCTTTCCGGGGTGAGCCCTATTAACACAATCGAGGAAATGGCGGTTGAGTATTGGCAGGATAACCATATTTTCGAATGATTAACAACGGTAGGAAATGTCCACGCTAATGCTCGTAAGTAATCCAAACGAGCTAGGCCAATGTCCAGGCCGAATGATGGCAGCCCCGTAGTGGACACTCTGAAATATTGGCTAATTACCAGTATTTCTCTTAAATCGAGTGATTAAAAAACCCATAGCAAAGAATGACCGGACTACTTTATTGAAGATTTTTGGCGTGA